GCTTACTATTGCCGAAACGAAGGCAAAACAACGTATTCAAAACCCGGTGATTAAAGACACGCAGACAGATCGTCTTTTCCTTCCTCTTACCTTCCATACCAATACTACGCTCATCAAAAATACAATACACAAACATTGGGACATATTACAAGCAGATAAGTGCTTGTCACCAATCTTTCAAAATCCACCGATGATTAGTTACAAACGTAACAGGAATCTGAAGGACATATTAGTCCGCAACGATCCGGTACACTGTTATCAACATGAAGGCAGTAATAAGAAGAAAGGATGTTACAAATGTGTGGGCTGCGTAACTTGCAGTCACATGGCTCCTGGTACTTCTTTTGCACATCCTCAAACAGGCAAACGGATCCCTATCCAACATTACATTACTTGTACAACTGATCATGTAGTCTATCTGATCACGTGCCCTTGCGGGCTAGCGTATGTGGGCAAAACTGATCTTACTGTTAGAGATCGCATAAGAGGTCATCGTTCAGCAATTACCACAGCCTTTCGTGACCAACACACTGAGAAACCAGTGGCCAAACATTTTCTGGCCCTTAACCATCGTCTTCCCACTCTGAGATTTATTGCCATTGATCATGTTCCACACTTACGTCGAGGAGGCGATAGGTCTAAGATTCTTCTACAACGGGAAGCATATTGGATTTATTCTCTAAAAACAGCAGCTCCAAAAGGACTCAATGAACACGTCACATATTCTATGTTTCTCTAATCAACACTTACAGACGGGATACGTGTTCATATAATTCTATTTTTCATTATTATTTCTTTTTTTGGACTTATTTTTTTCTAGACAGGTTTGACTGTTAAATCTAATATTTTATATAGTTATATGTATTTGCAGTAGTACACAGGATTGATTCTCTTGGACTTTTGTCCTCTCCCACCGCAATAGTTGATCAAGATCAATAGGTGTTCGTTTTATTAGGTCTATGCCTCATAGATATTATATTACAACAAAGTATAGCTTTGCATATTTTTCATACATAGACATAATTATTTGTCTAGCTTTAGATTTTCTTTCCAGATCTGTTCTTAGGTCCAAATTCTCTATTATGTAATACTTATTGCAATGGTGCTTTAATTCATTTGCAGTTATAACTTTGTAATTATCCTTGATTTAAGGTCTATATTTATATTTATATCTTATGTGCATCACATTTAGCAACACCTCATTCGGGTGAAGTCTTGGATCCATCATCTGATAGTTTTTTTCATAGTTGCACGATTGATTCACATTCTTCTGCACTTAGTCACTAATTATGACACCTTTATGATCGTGGATACCACTAATTGCCGCATGAGGTTAGTTATTACAATATGGATCTATTCCTTTCATCTTGTTAGTTCTCCCTTATCAACATTCTTCACTTCTTTATCACAGTATTTCACACTCTGGTAATTTACACTTGTTGTTATGGCAACCTATCAACACTCCGCCGGACGACCTGACGTAATGACGTCGGGAAGGCAGTCCTAACTCACTTCCGGGTTCGGAGAGGGGAACACACAACGCTAAAGTTTGGTAAGTGCACTTACAACTTATTCTATATAAATGCACTATTTTGCTAGTTTCACTAACCTTGAAAAAGACCTGTAGAGGTCGAAACGTTGGTTGTCGATTTGTTTGTAACACATGATTTAAAATAAAAACGGATTTTATGCACAAGTCCTGAGAGTGCATTTTGGATCATTCATCAAGTATATATGGAACGCACACCATCTGCACCCAGGCGGATACAAGGAAGTCCATAAAGGAGAGTGCCAAGCTATTGACTTATTATATATATATATATATATATATATATATATACATACTTAGATCATATATATATATATATATATATATATATAATCTAAGTATATATTATTTTACACTGTTTTAAAACTTTTTTTTTAACTTTATTACAGGCAGCAGGGGGGACTACCTGTCATTCCAGGCACTCCTCCGCTGGCATTGCTATGGACAGATTTTCTGTCCATTTGATCGTGAGGTCCTTGCAAGGACCTCGCGATCACATGGCCCAGGATGGCCGGATCAGCATCAGGGGGACTCCCTGGGATGCCAGGTAAGTCCCCCCATCGCGATCGCCGGCGTGGGATCACCAGCGAGCAGGTAAATCCCCTGGACGGCGGGGATGTACTATGCCGCCCGTCGGTGTTTAGAGCCGGGTCCCCAAGGATGGCATAGCACGCCCGCCATACTTAAGGGGTTGAGGGAGAATATTCAGGAATTAATTTAGAAGAAGATTGTTATTAACAAAAATCAATATGTTTTTATGCCACATGTAACGTGTGCAACATGTGTAGAAATATAGATTAGTGTGTTGCAGTGGATGTGATCTACTTGGATTTTGCCATTTATTATGGTTCCACACAACTGGTTAGTTTTCAAACTAAAAGAACTTAATCTAGATGAAAATGCTTGTTCTTGGGTAGAACAGTAACTTAAAAATAGAGAACAGAGAGTTGTCATTAATGGTAAATTTTCAAGCTGGACAGAGGTGGTAAGTGGTCCCTCAAGTTTCTGTTTTAGGGCCTCTTCTTTTTTAACATATTTATAAATGATCTTGAAATAAGCATTGAATGTCATGTTTCAGTGTTTGCAGATGACACAAAACTCTAAAATAATACAATGTGAGCAAGATATTACTTTGCTGCAGATAGATAGATGGGGGGCCTGGACACTAAAATGGCAGATCAAATTTAATGTAGATAAATGCAAAGTTATGCAATTTGGGGTAAAAATTTGACAAGCAACTTACACCCTAAATGGTAGTTAATTACAGGATAACAACACACAATAAGAATATGGGAATTGTTATAGACAACAAACTAGGCAACAATGTGCAATGTCAATCAGAAATGGCTAAGGCCAATAAGCTATTGTCATGCATTCAAAGCGGCAATAATTCTCAGGATGAGAATATCATTTTGCCTCTTTATAAATCACTGGTAAGATCATATCTTGAATATGCTGTGCAATTTTATTAAAGACACGGAGGCTCATTTTATGCATAACTCTTTCTTTATTTCCTCAGCAGCAAAGAAAGAGAAATATAAATATTATCAAAACTGAAGAAAAAACTGTATAGGCACAACAGGTAGCCAATCACAGGGTATAGGAAGTAGCTATAAAAGTCTTGTGTCTCCCACAATCCCCCTCTTTCTTTGCTGCTTCCTCAGACAGATAAGTGTTTTCTCTGATCTCTGGCTTGCATTGTGATTCCATTTTAACTTGTCTTACAGTGTGTTTTCCTTTTATGATTTACATGCTGTTTTATTGTTATTTGTTTTATTATTTTTGCATTGGTTTTGATGTTGTTCTGATTATTTTTGTTTTCCTCGGCTGGTGTCTCCCCTCTGGGCCCGCGGGTGTGTCACTGCCCCGTCCGGGCGGTCCCCACCACCCCCCTCCTCTCTCCCCTCTCCTACCCGTGCTTCTGCACGGGACCCGACCTGCTGTGCCGCGGCCGCGATCTCCTCGCGACCGCGGCGGTGTACACGTTTCTCTCCTCCCCCCTTGCTCCAGATAGCGTGTCGGCTCGGCGGGCGGGTGCATGAGCCCCTTCCCCCGCCGAGTGTTTTCCTCGTGTGCCTCCCTCGTGCGGCGGCCATTTTGGGGGCGGTCTTTTGTATTCCTCCCAGTGCTGCCGTGCGACCGGCCACCTCGTAGCCCTGCTCCCTGGGGACACCAGCCAAAACGTTTGTTTTTCTGTATTTCCTTGTGGGTTAATCAACCCTTCCCTCTCCCTCCCAGCTAACACCCTGGTGTTATTCAGCCTGATTTGTTTGTAGTCAGTTCATTGCTCCCTATATAATTTCCATTGCATTAATTATTATTTTTTCTATTTAAATTCTCATTGGTCTGTCTATTCTGTCCCCCACTGTCACTACCATGCAGGATAGGGGTGATGGGCCTGTTGGTCCCCCAGGGGACTTCCAATTAGATAATACTGATGGTGCCATGGCCTCCCAAGAGTTCCAAGCCATGTTAGAGGCCACTATGGCTTCCTCCATCCAGAAGGCTATCGCCTCAGCCATGGGAGCTGTCTCCTCAAATTTTTCCCAGTCCCTGCACTCTCTGATTTTACCTGCCATGGCCACCCCTGCCCTCTCCCCTGCTCAAACCGTGCCTGGAGCCCGTAAGGCAAAGGCTAAATCCAAACATGTCGGCTCCCACTCCTCGATGCAGGTTTTACCTGCCATGATTGACACGCCTGAGGCGGTCTCAGATGGCGCGCACCCCACGCGCAAAAGAGCCCCTGGCCGGGCTAAAAAGGCTAGAGTATGAAAAAGGGCTAGAGCCCATGATATTGGGTCGGATACCGACCGGAGTGTGGAGGATGAGTCCGACACGATGGAGTACGACTCCTTTGATCATGATGATTCTGGCGAGGATTTGCCCCTTACGGGCGTGAACCCCTCCGGGTCCTCCGCAAATACCCGGGGCCCCTCACTTGCTCCCCCGGGGGGTGACACCTCGATCCTTGACCCACAGGGCAACCCCCTGTTTGACCCAGACGACCTACGTCATCCTCGGTCCGCCGAGTGGGTTCCCCCAGATCACATCGCCCAATATGTGGCTAAGCGTATCCGCACGCCACTTTCTAGGGAAGGCCGCAATAAATTGCGCGCCGAGTGTCCACGCCCGTCCCTCCCGGGCGCGGCTTGCAAAACCCCGGACATTGACCCGCAAATTGCTCAATTCCTGAATAAGTCAGGATGGAAGCCCAAGAAGGGCCTTGACCACTCCCTTAAAAGCTGCCAGGACAAGATCCTGGATACCCTAGGCCCCCTTTCCAAGCTTTACGAGCTTTTGGATGCTGCCAGGACCGGGGACTCCGTCCTGGACGTGGATGTGGCCATTGGTTGGGTCCAAAGAGCTATTTGCTTACTGGGGAACGCCAATACGGCCATGTCTACAGAAAGACGCAAGGCGATCCTCCTGAAGATCGACCCTAAATTGGCCGCTATGACTGTGGCGGAGCCTGATCCAACTGAGGAGGGTCTCCTGTTTGGCACGTCCTTCGTTAAGGATATGGGTGCTTATGTCAAGACCTTTACGGCTATTGACAAGGCACAGGCGAACATGAAGCGAGTGTTCGCGCCTAAGGTTTTCGGAGGGGCCGGGCGTAGCAGGAACCGTCCACCCGGCCGTGGTTTCCGAGGCGCATTCCGCGCAACCAGAGGTTCCTTCTTTCCCTCGAGAGGATTTCAGGAACAGAGAGCCCCTCCCTTCTTCCCGGCAAGAGGTCGGGCCTGGGGATCCAGATACCCCCGCGGTGGTACCCCCGGCAGACGTCCTTACGGTGAGTACCCTTTCTTTCCCTCACGCTCAAGTTCGGGTGGCGGGGAGACTGGCCTTATTTTGTCAAGAATGGGCAAAGATCACCTCAGATGCTTGGGTTTTACAATGTGTAAGGGGTTTTCGTCTGGAGTTTGTTTCCATGCCTGTCCAGTTTTATTCCCCCAGAGAACTGTCCCTCCCTCCGGAGCAGGACGAGATGATTTCCACGGAAGTGGTGGAGATGCTGTCCAAGGGCGCTATAGAGGAGTTGCCGTTCGCCGCCCCAGGCTTTACGAGCAATTTATTCCTAGTGCCCAAGAAAGGAGGCGGTGTTCGCCCTGTCATAAATCTTCGCCCACTCAACGCTTTTCTACGCTACCAACACTTCCAGATGGAAGGTATACACTGCCTCAGAGACCTCCTACGTCAATCGGACTGGTTGGCCAAGCTGGACCTGAAGGACGCATACTTTACGGTCCCCATCGCTTTGGAGTTCCGGGATTATCTCCACTTCACCTGGCATGGGCGTCGTTGGCGCTTCACCTGCCTGCCTTTCGGTCTCTCCTCGGCCCCTTGGTGCTTCACCAAGCTCATGAAGCCCGTGGTGACCTTCCTCTGAACCCGGGGGGTTCGCCTCATTATCTACCTGGACGATATCTTGATCTTATCCCAGTCACGAGAGGATCTCCTCATACACCTGGGATGGATGGACGACCGACCTTCTGCAGAAGTTGGGATTTCTGATCAATTGGAGCAAGTCGGTCCTGGTCCCTGCCCAGTCCATAGAGTTTCTGGGTTTTCAAGTGGATTCCATCCAACAGTTCCTGTTCCTCCCGGATGCCAAGGTAAAAGCCATCCAGAAGGAAATTCGGAGGGCCCTCCGTATTCCAGATTTGTCGGTCAGACAACTGGCGAGAATTATCGGCCTTCTCGCGGCCTCTATTCAAGCAATCTTCCCAGGCCCCCTGCATTACCGAGCGCTCCAACGGCTCAAGGGATCACGACTTCGCTCCGGTCATTCATACGAATCTCGGATAACGCTGGACGAGGAGTCCAGGGACGAACTAGCGTGGTGGTTGGCGCACATGGAAGCATGGAACGGAAGAGCCATCTTCGGTTCGGCCCCGGATGTGGTGATAGAGTCCGATGCCAGCTTACACGGCTGGGGCGCTCGTTGTGGCGACGTCTCCACAGGAGGAAGGTGGTCCGACACAGAGAAGTCGTTACACATCAACTGCTTGGAACTTCTGGCAGGTGCCTTCGCGATCTGCAGCCTTGCCCCGGGGAGGGCGAATTGTTGCGTTCTCCTCAAGATGGACAACGTATCAGCAGTTCGTTACATAAATCACCTAGGGGGCACGAAATCCAAAATGTTGGCGACTCTGGCAAAGGATTTTTGGCAGTTCTGCCTCTACAACAACATTTCGGTGACAGCGGAACACATCCCAGGTCTGGACAATTCGGGGGCGGATTGGAATTCCAGACACTTACGGGACTCCGGGGACTGGCATCTACACGCTTCAGTGTTCCAGTGCCTGAACAGGTTGTGGGGCCGGTTCCAGTTGGACCTATTCGCGTCATGCCTGAACACTCAGCTACCGAGGTTCTACAGTTGGAGGCCGGACCCGGCTAAAATAGCGACAGATGCCTTCCTCCAAGAATGGCCACCAGGTCTGATGTACGCCTTTCCCCCATTCAACATGATCGCACGCACGATCTCGAAACTGGTCCGCCACGATTGTCGGATGGCTTTGATCACCCCTCTATGGAGGTCTCGCCCATGGTTCCCTCGGCTGATGGAACTGTCCATAGACTACCCTCGTTTGCTTCCGGTATTCCAAGACCTCCTTCTGAATCCGGATGGGAACTCTCACGACCTGGTGTTGCAGCATCAGCTGCCCCTCATAGCGTGGTTCCTTTCAGGGGACCTTGGGTTATCCCAGACGTTTCGCAGTCAACTCTCCGACTCCTCGATAACGCCTGGGCCCCGGGTACATGGACAGCTTACCGACATTCATGGAGATCATGGTCTGGTTGGTGCATGGAACGGGCAATGGATCCCGTATCTGCCCCTCTGCCTAGGTTTTCAGACTGTCCAGCGCTCTGCCCGGTGGATTGCATCAAGGACTATCTGGATGTTACACGTCCCCTTCGCATGACAGACCTGCACGATCTGTTCATATCCTTTAAATCACCTCACCGGCCGGTTTCAACTCCTACTCTAGCACGTTGGGTGCGCTGGCTGCTATCCTCCGCGGGTATAGACACCTCAGTATTTACGCCTCATTCTGTAAGGGGCGCGATGGCCTCGAAAGCCTCTTCAGTCGGATGTCGCCTGGAGGACATTATGCGAGCAGCGGATTGGTCTCGGGAATCGACCTTCCGAGCCTTCTACTTCAGACCAATTGAGCACATCGCATCTCGTGTGGTGGCACAGCTTTGAACTTGCATAATATGAGCCTCCGTGTCTTTAATAAAATTCCCAGATTTTACTAGTAACATGACGTAAAGTCATGATTTTATTAAAGACATGGAGGCGAGTATTATTCCCTCCCACCCTCCCGGAGTGGAGTTGGGATATGAGATGCTTGGTGGCTCTACAGGTATGTTTTTCAGTTTGGTCTGTATCCTATCAGTTGATTTGCATCTTTTGTACGGGTTGTTGTACCTTTATGCTGTGTACTAATTCTGTTGTTTTTATATTTCAGTACTCTGTTTTACCTGTGTCTCCCCAAGACTATGTTTGGTAAGTTTGCAGTTCTGAATTAAGAAATTACCATATTTCTCTATCTTTTTTAGCTTGAAATTGTCGCATCGTTTCCCGTTACCCTATTTCGACCAAGTGGGACATCGTTCATCTTACCTGGTCTTCGGTTCGCAAGAAAGAGGGGGATTGTGGGAGACACAAGACTTATATAGCTACTTCCTATACCCTGTGATTGGCTACCTGTTATGCCTATACAGTTTTTTCTTCAGTTTTGATAATATTTATATTTCTCTTTCTTTGCTGCTGAGGAAATAAAGAAAGAGTTATGCATAATACTCGCCTCCGTGTCTTTAATAAAATCATGACTTTACGTCATGTTACTAGTAAAATCTGGGAATTTTGGACACCTTTTCTAACGAAGGATATTATGGTACTTAAAAAAGTGCAGAGGCGGCTACAAACTTTATAAAAGGAAAGGAACGTTTTAGTTATGAATAAAGGTTAACAAATTCAAAGCTCTTTAGTTGAGAGAAATGGTGTCTCAGAGGGGATATGATAGCATTAGATCTGACGCCAATACAAACCATTGCCTGGAAATCTATTCACAAACACGACTATATATAGGACACAATGTCACGCATTTAGACAGGAAGAAAGGAGATTTAGTCTAAGGCAAAGGAAAGTGTTTTTTTTTACAGTAAGAACAATAAAAATGTGGAATTCTCTTTCTCTGCAGAGTTGGTTTTATCAGAGTCTGTACAAATGTTTATACAGAACGGGATGCATACTTCCAAAAACATAATATTCAGGGATATAATTTTTAAATTGTGGGGTAACAGCTTCTTGATCCAAGGATAAATCTGACTGCTATTCTGGGGTCAAGAAGGATTTTTTCCTAGTTTGTTGCAAAATGTAAGTGCTTCAAACTAGGTTTTTTGCCTTCTTTTGCATCTTTTGCTTCAGCAAAAAAAGATGTAAGAAAGGTTGAACTTGATGGAGGCATGACTCTTTTCAGACCAGAGGCGGCTCTCTAATTAGGTGGTTTAGGTGGCCGCCTAAGGCCTCGCGCTGGCTGGGGCCTCACGGCCACCTAAACCGCCTGTGGGCAGACTGTGTCGGGTCCTCGGTCAGTGACTGAGGACCCGACACCAGGAGGGGGCCGGTGGCTTGCCCGGTATGCCGCCGGGTGCGAGGCCCCTCCTGGCTGCCTGGCCAGCCAATGCAGACACTGGTCTGCAGCTCCGCAGTGAACAGAGCTGCAGACCATGTGTCTCGCGAGAACTGTCCAATCAGAGCGTTGCCGCGTATTACCACGGCAATGCTCTGATGGTCTTGCGAGATTACATGGTCTGCAGCTCTCCGGAGCTGCAGACCGTAAGTAATGCCCACCCGGCCACCAGGGAGCCCACTGGACCACCAGGGAATAAAGGAATGTTCTCTCTCAGCCCCCCTCACCACCCTCAGCATCACCCCCCACACCACCCTCAGCATCACATCCTTTACCCCCCAACCACCCTCAGCATCCCACTCCCCACACCACCTTCAGCATCACTCCCTTCACCCCTCACCACCCTAAGCATCACCCCCACACCACCCTCAGTATCACCCTCACCACCCTCAGCATTACACCTCCACACCACCCCAGCATCACCCCCTCACCCCCACCACTTTCAGCATCACCCCCCACCACCCTCAGCATCACCCTCCTTCACCACTCACCCCCCTCAGCATCACACTCCTCTCATCATCACCCCTTCACCATCACCCACTCACCATCACCCCCCTCACATCACCTCCCCCCACCATCACCCCCTCATTATCACCCCCACCCATCAACGCCCCACCATCAACCCCTCACCATCAACCTCCTCTCTCACCATCAACCCCCCACCCTCACCATCAGCCCCCTCACCATCAGCCCCCTTCCCTCAACATCAGCCCTCCCTCACCACAAGCTCTCTCTCAACATCAGCCCCCCTCCTCAATATCAATCCCCTCAACCTCACTCACCCCTCAGCATCAACCCTCCTTCTCACATCACCCCCTCCTTCTCACTTCACCTCTCACTTCACTCCCTCACATCACCCCTCCTTTCACAACACCCTCCTTCTCATATCACCCCCTCTCTCACATCACCCCCTCCCTCTCCACATTACCCCTCCATCACCTCCCTCTCACCATTAACCCCCACATCCTCTCACCATCACCCCCCACACCATCACCTCCCTCTCCCTCTCACCATCACCCCCTCTCACCATCACCCGCCTCTCCCTCTCACCATCACCCCCCCATACACACAACACACTTCAAGCAGCTACCCCATACACATAGGGTCTCAACAAAAATGCAAACATGCTCACAGAGACATACATTCACACACAATGATACTCTCTGTCAGACACACTCTCAGGCACTAAACAGGTAAACTGTGCATCAATGTGTATATATGATACTTTTTTGTTATTCTACACCTTTTTTTTAAATTAGTGTGCACCAGTGGCGACTCTAGGAATAATATATGGGGGGGGGGGCACATAAGACACCACAGTCAAAACTGGGGGGGTACTAATAACTCCCATTACTAAAAAAAATTAAATGTGTGTGTAAGCAGTGACAATGTGTGTGTAGGGAGTGACAGTGGGTGTGGGGGTGTGTCAGTGTGTGTGTAAGGGGCTGAGAGAGAGAGAGAGTGTGTGTGTGTGTGTGTGTGTGGTGGGTGACAGTGAGTGAGGGGATGACAGTTTGTGTAGGGGTGACAGTTTATTTGTGTGTGGGGTAACATGTGTGTCTGGGGGGCTGGCAGTGGGTGACAGGTGAGGGGTGCCAGTGTGTGTGTGGGGGGGTAATACTGTGTGGAATTTCAGGTGGGAGGGGGTGACAATTGAGAGGAGGGTGACACTACAGTTTTTGGGGAGGCTGTTTCAGTGAGCAGCCTCCCCACACTAAAATACCTTTTTTTAAAGAAATATATTCCCTGGTGGTACAG